AAAATATGGTTTGTACACAAAATGAGATGCTAACAAGGCTAAAAGGGGTAGTTTTCGAAATTCATGGAAGTTCATTTCTCAAGGATTACAATCTTTTTCTTAAAAGTTGTTATGGGTAGTGAGAAGAGAGTCCGTTTTTGGGAGGACGTTTCAAGTGGGGATTCATCCTTAGCATTCTCATATTCTCGTCTCTATAATCTTTCACACTTCCATGATGTTTGCATTGCTTTAATGGTTAGTTGTTATGTTTATCCAGTGTCTTGGGATTTTGGGTTTCGTGTCGTAGTGAGAGGGAAATTGTGAAATTGGGCTCACTTATTTCTTTGCTTGATGGTATAACTTTACATCCTGATTCTTTGAATAAAAGAAGTTGGGTCTTTGACTCGACGGGTTTGTTCTTTTGTAAATCCTTTTTTATTCCTTGATTGATGATACTTCTCTCCTAATTTTTTATCTATCTTTGAAGATTTAGAAAGTTAAAATGCTTTTGAAAATGCAAGTATGTGCGTGGACTATGCCTCATGGCAAGACTACTACCAATGGTGTTTTTTTTTTGGGTGAAAATTAGGATTTAGTACTCGATAATAGGCTTTTAATGAGTTTAGTCCATCAAGAAAACCTTATTTAATATTACTAATAAGTAGTTAAGTTTACAATTTTTTTAATACTAAAATGTCCTTATTTTAATATTCAAAACAATTTTCAAACTGAAAATCAGTTACCCTTTATTAACGCTCAATGAAGATCTGTCAATAAGATCTTTTCCATCAATCACTCTTCTTTCTCTCTCAATGTCTCTTCGCCTCCCTCACCTCTGAAATTTCCCTTTCATTTCGGGATCAAAATTGTCTCTAGATTCTTCGACTCTGATGGAAGATCAAATTGCCTATGAAATCTAAATTATCTTAGGCGGCAGATTCTTTATGGGGTAGGATCTTTTGTGAGATTTACCTATGAAAGAATAGAATTGAAAGAGGTCATAAGGACATTGAAATGCACAGTAGACAAAGTTCCAACAAGAGTTTAAGGTCTAGCACCAGAATAAGCATACCCATTTCAACCCTTCCTCTCATTTTCTCTCTCTCTTTCAATGCTGTAGACCATTTTGTATTCCTCTCTACCTCTTTTCTGCCATGGCCCATGGAACCCCATCACCAATACCCCCAGGTAATCATCTTTCTCTCTCTCTCAACTAGGCACCCAGCCATGACGCACTCACACAAAACACAGCGCACACACCCATGCACACAAGACACAACACAAACACCCACACGCCCATTCCCACACACTCAGGACCCAATTGCACAACACATCACTCAGTTGGGATTTAATAATTTTTTTTTATTTTTGTGCATTTAATCCTAATTGGACTTTTTTGTGCATTTTGTCTTAATTTTATTTTTTGTACATTTTAATCCTAATTACTTTCCTAATTTGTGATAGTCAGCATTTGCAATGTGATGTAGTTGGGATGACCCGAAGACACCAATATGATTAATGGTGGGCGGACTTACAAGTTACGAGTTACGCCCTTAAGCTATTAAGCCGACAATAATAAATATTTTTTCGATAACTCTCAATGCAAAACCATCTATAATTCTTTGAAATTGTTTGCCTTTTTTTTTTTTTTTTTGAAAAAGTGTTCATATAAACTCATTTTCTTTAATAAGTTTATCAAACAGTCGTGGAGAAGTACTTTTAAAGAAAATTCGAATCTGAGTTGTCACTTCTTGTCAAAAGAGATGATTATTCTTTGAAGATAAGTGATGTAGATATTAATTTGGCGAATCTTTTATTGGATCTTGGACTATGACATCAAATTATGGATTATAATTCTCATGATCGAGATCAAATGAGCAGTCAGATTAGTTCAAGGATCCAAGCAACAACTTCAAATGATGAGAGAAAATGGTTTGAGCTATTTTCTTGATGATGTCTCTATTTTTTTGTGAAAACCCGAGATAGTTGTTTCAAATATAAACAATATCTTTAAATCTTGAGGGACGTTAAGGCGTACTCAAGAAGCAACAAATTTGCAACTTTATCGAGTCGAGTTAATTTATGTTGTCACAAATGTGCCACTTCAAGAGCTAAAAAACCACTTTACCGAGTCAAACACTAAGTTGCTTCTTTGTGTGGCATGTTTGAGTCTTTTTGATTCATTCCTACTTTTGACAATAAGAAATTGGTGAGTCTTACTCAATTTTATCCAAAAGAATTTTCACCATTAGAGCTCATAATCCTTTTTAATCAGTTAGATAGTTATGTAATATGTTATTGATATACATTCTAGTATTGAGTTTTCAAATTTGTTAAGGATTGAATATCTTGCTCAAAAAATTGTTTAGACAAAAAAAAACGTGATTTATCCAATGGTCTACATGTCACTTTGGCATTGATCTTGCGACTGCCACAGGAGAGAAAATTTCCAGCTTTGAAGATTGTGAAGAATCGATTATATACTCAAATGAGTGATTAATGAATGATCGACAGCTTGATTGTGTACATAGACAAGGACATTTTTAATTGTATTGATAATGAATTTATCATACAATGCTTGTAAAATATCACAACTCGTCAAGTTCAATTGTAAATAGCTATACTCAATCTCATATCGTTGTAGTTTTTTTTTTTTTTTTGTTTCTGTACCCCATCGGCTTTTCACTATTTTTTGTTCATGAAATTTCAAATATTATATAAGATTTATCAAATTTATGTGCCATTTACTTTAATCAGTAAGAAATAAAAAATTAAAAACTTATAATTAGTGTCCACCCACATAATTTCCTGACTCTGCCCTTGGTATTCAAAATTGTTTTCGTCAATGCAATATGCAAACAAGTAAAAGATTTCATTGTATTTTGAAGACGGAATTCCCAATCAAACCTTATTCAATTGGATGGGGGTAAATATTATTTTTAGGAAAGTGTTTCTATTTGACTTGAAAGCATTTCAGATTTTTAGTTTTGGCGATGCAGTTTCGTTCTACACCAATAAGAAGTAGATTTTTATCAACAAACCACCCTCATTATATAGAAGACCTATAAGTGTGAAGAAGACCAAAACACCCTACAAGTATGACATTGGCATTAGAATAATGAATGAAAATGGGGTTCGTTTTGGCATTCCGTTGTAGTGTCATCATCAATTATAACACAAAAAACTACACAAGTGTTGGAAGATATATCCTTTAACATGGGTTTGATGAGGTAGTATCATTATTACAACTAGACCCCTACAGAAAAATGACTTTATCAACTTGTGAACCTTGTGCTGCCTGTCCGACTAGCCCCCACCTCCGGCTGTATCGGTTTTTACAAAACCCACAAATAAAATCTCAAATCAGCAACTTAATAAAGACTTGTGTCTGCTATTTGAGGAAAGCCCGAGAACACATATTTCAGAAATAATGGCATTATTGACACAGGCCATCATGCTGCAAGATAAAAAATACATATATACCAAGCAATAAAAACCAGAAACATCAAAATGCAAAATATGGCACTTGCCACCACGCTACAAGATAGGAAACAAGGATCAAAATATCGTTTCTGTGCATTATTTCAGCTAGCTCGGAAACAAAAACAATTAGATGTTTTGGAAACATAATGAAAAGGGAAAAAATCGAAGTGTTGATTTCCAAATAATTGACAAAATTCTCCGAAACATCTAGGAACAAACATAGAAATTTCAATTTTCCATCACTATTTTATTTCGATGAAAGCAAAACAAAGTTTGGATCCTTAATCACAAACAGATAGGACGATTCGATAACGTCATTGTTAAGTTGCACGAGACTACCGATGAACCCACCCTGGTCTTATGGCTGCTGCCTTCAATGGATGGCTCTAGCTTCTAGCGGCTGGGCTGATCATCTGACTAGTATATAACTATTCAATGTATAACATGATACATCAACAAGCACACACCATTGATAGTCTAAGCACAAACACTAACCTTCAAATGCTAGTCTTTATGGCTGCACCAAGGCAAGAAGATATGTAGTTAGGTCCCAAAGGAACTCAAGCTACTTTCGAAGGAACTGTAACTTCTGAAAGTGTACCAGAACATTCTTCATGCTCCATCTCAGATCTAATTCTATTTCAACCGAGCACATGAGAGTCCAAAGGATGTAGATTAATTTTACTAAAAGGACAGAGGACAGACAGAGTGGTTAGCGCTGGAAAGCAAAATCTTTTTTTTCTGTTATATCTTGCAACCTTAACATCCCCTTTTCAATCAAAAAATAATCATCAATGAATTTGTTAGTACAGAAATATATCTTGGTCAGAAATTATGTCGTCAATGATGAAGCAGTTTATGCAAAATATTGATCGGAAAATACATGGGTAAGCATCACAAACCACGCCGGAGCACGCCATTTATTTACTCAATAAGCTTTAGAAAATGATATCTAAAGCTTTAGAAAAAGTAATGATATCTAAAACTTACTCAATAAAAAAGTCAGTTAAGTAGCTTTAGAAAATGATATCACCTTCCGATACAGGACCAGATAGATAAGCGAGTTTTAGAGGAAGGAATTCGAAGAGAAGGAGAAAAAGAAACAACAGACCGAGATCTAAGAAGAAGGGAAAAACACTGATCAATAGAAGAACGTGAGGAAGCGAGAATTTCCCATTTCAAATTCAACTCAATAATGCCAGAACTAATCATTCTTGTACAACAACTATAATCATAGACAAACACCAAAATGAAAACTACTTGAAAGTAGTATACATGATTTTTAAATACCACATCAAAAAAATTTTAAATTCCTAATTTAAGAAATAAACCCAATAAGTTTTAAACTAAGTAATAATACTAAAATAATTCCTAATTCTAACCTTGAACCCAGGTTTCCTAGGAACCCCTTTATGTTCCCCATCACCTTCACATACTATGAATGAATTATAGGTGAAACAAGGGTCTGAAATTTTCAGAGAAAAGAAAATTTAAACTTGAGAGTGACGGAAGCAGAAAATAAAGTAGGGAATCTATTCTCATATTCGAGAGGTGTAAGGTTGTTGCCCCTGCAGCTTTGATGCCGGAATAGCAAGCTTACAGAGTTGTTCAAATTTAAAAACACCAACGGCCCTTAAACTAAAGCTGTAAGACATACCATGAAACTCATCATATTTTACAATAATTACCATCTTGTACCTCTTCTCCAACATCAAATCAATGACACGACCAATAGATGTCAAGCTTGTGACGCAAGGAGGTGGGCTTCTCATCATTGTTGAAAGTGGAGCATCCAACTGCACAAATACATAAATTTAAAGAGAGCAAAGCAAGAAGACATCATCGTACATCAACCAATTGCCTTCTATTAGCTTATTGATTATAAAGCAGCCAGGATTTATGCTCGACAAATCAATGGAATTCTCATATCCAAATACAAATAGTGGAAAAGCACGTCTATCCACCCAAAAAAAGGAAAATTTTGAACAAGACAGGAACAGAAGAAAGAAAAGAATTAAAAAAGAAAGACTTATCTCCACCCAATGCATAACTATAAAATATTTTCTTATTGAAACTTGAGAGATATATAATATCAGAGTTCAATACTTCTAATCTTTCGGTGCTGAGATTCACATGTTTGCTGCATCAACAACACTTAGTTTGTAGCTTCAGGTAAACTTTTGATGTGGCTGTTCTAGGCGAGACTAGAAAGAACTGGATTCTCTTGTTTGGATTAACTCCTAGTCCAGAGTCTGTCAGAACCTTATTGACTTTATCTTATGCTCTATTCTCATAGTGTACTGCAGCTGGCCATCTTCATTGATTTGGTCAATCCCCACACTAAAAATCACATTGTTGGGTAAACTTCAATTGCAAAACAACACAAGAATGAGAAGAAGAGAGAAATCTTATTGTTTCTACAGCAGTCTGCTGACAGAGACTCTTTATTGTAGAGAAAAACAATATTAAAAAATGACTAAACTACTCCTAATACTATGTTTGTCCTCTGCTACCTCATTCTTCACGTTTATAGTGCATTGGCTCTTAGTTTGTGTTTCCCGGGAAATTGTCCTGGAAAAGAGATACTTAAAGTCTGAACCCCACCCACCCAGAAACACAGACAGCGTATCCAGAGCAGCTCCAAGCATCACTTACAACTTGAACAAAATCCAAAAAGGTAAAAAATGAAACTTGTTCATTTCCATGCCACGACATGAAAATCTTCACCCCATATCCCAAAACCACCTGAATCAAGGAAACAAACAGACATGGTTCCTATATATGGAAATGTAAAGGACGGAAAAGGTCTGCGCACCCACAATAAAGGCCATTTGGTGAATAATCATTTCACTGATGAGTAGTAATCCTGCATAGTTTGGATCTGTCTCAGATTCGGATACAAGTATTCAGCTAGTTTGACAATTACAGTAAGGGAGAGCCTAAGTGGCAGTTCTCTCTTGGTGCAGCAAACTAAGAAGCACAGACATGTACTGAGCACATAAAGTATATAAATGGATATGCCGACAAAAAAATTTCTAAAAAGGAAAGACGCAAACATGTGAGGACACGGCATCAGATAAATATAAACACATCTATTTGTTCTTCAGTTTATCTATATGTAAATGAAATAATGTAATATGCAAAGGAAATCTTACATATATTGTGTAACACGAAGACTTTTGAGACTTATGAATCATAACAATTAACAACCAACCATGGCGTATAATTGACATGTAGCAAGGATACACAATCCTGATGATTCCTATCATTCTCCATACGCCTTTCAATTGAATTCTTGTGTCTTACTTGTGCGTTTCAAAATATAGCAATTACACTAGAGAATTTCAATTATCTTCACGCTACAAGAATTTCACTTCTCTTCATGCTACAAGAATCGTAGGAGTGTCCAAGAAGTGTCAGGCAAATGTTGAAATGTAGCTTGCATATTGTCTTGGATGCTAAGCCAGAGAGGATGTTTTTACATAAAAAAGTGTGGGCAGTATCGACTACAGAGAATGACTCTAGCCCCTTCTCGCCATTCTGTCAGTATATCTAATAGCTAAAAAAACTATGTTTATGTAGATATCTTCCCCACAGGTTTGGAAAAACATTATGAACAACTATTCTTCATAAATAGTGGGTCAGAAGAACAATAATAAACTTAATTAATGGAAGGAAGTCAAACTTAGACAGTTGAACAGCTTACTGAAGATTAGAAGAAAAGTACCATATTGCAGTCTTCCCGATGTAGTATTCCCACACAGCTTCCCCAGTCATCTATGATGGGCACAACTGAATCTCTGAAGAAACGCAGCACCACTTGCCTCAGGTGCCAGGTAGCTTGTAATGGCTGAGCTTCTTCAAATGGTATCATAATGCACTCAATTGCAGCACTAACTGACACCTAGTTAGAAGGTCGTCAAACAATTCAACAAATTGGAAGCAAATAGTTCAATTACTTGATAAGGAGGAGTATGACCAGATGCAAAGGAAACAAGCAATAACACTTAATCAATTGCCTCAATCAATAAGATGTTTTATGCCAGAGTTAAACATAACTGGTTATGACAACTAAATTTTATGTACATTGATTGATTCTAATTTTCTATTCCATGAAACAATTTCACCAATTCATCCTAAGAGGTATATCAGATGATAAGGTAATCAAACCAAGTCAGATTTTCGATACAGGTTACATCCCACCCGAAGCCCAATCATGATAGGAAAACTACCAATTAACACACAATAATGGCACACTGTTTGTTAGCTGTCACAAGGACATGCCATTTTTCTAAACTGTAACAATAAACAAATTACACACCTGAGAAAGCATGTAAGGACCAAAAATGGATGCAGTGAACCCCAGCAATGCCTCAATGCGTACAGCAACCTGCATGCCAATGTGAGTGATAGGTTGTGTAATGTCGACCAGGATCACATAAAGGGACTAGAAAGAAACGAAAGAAGATTTCTGGAACTAAAAATAAAACATATAGGTTCATTTCTAGAGCAATGCACCAAGGGAGGCCTCAACTCATCTTTATATGGATTCTATAGTAAAAGAACACTTCAAAACTTAATCATTAGAAAATCTATCCTCAGCACAACCAAGAAATTCCCGGAAACAATCCCCCCCCTCCCAAAAAAAAAAAAAAACCCTGAGCAGCAGTTATTGCTGAAATTTTATATCTCCCATGGGTCACCTGGTATCAACTTATTTTTTTTGGTTTTAGATCGTCTTAAATCCACATATATTTCAAAAATGAACACATACCATTCCTCCTCGACTAGCCCATGATATTCCCTTCCATTTTCTAATAATGTGATATAGATTTTGTACAGCCACATCAACCTGGCAAAAAGAAAAAAACCAAGCCATGGTAGTTAACGTTTTGCAAGTAAAAGCTTTATTTTCCATATGCCAATCATCATGTAGGACAATCTAAAGTTGGTGGAAACTGGAAGCAAGATATCATCAACGTTGTTCCACTAAAATGGGAAAAAATGATATCATAATAGATAATACCCTGTGGAAGGGCATACAAATATATTAGTTCAAGGTGTTTCTTGACTATCTAATTACATAACCACACAGGGTAGATTTGATACCTATGACAAAAGCACAATGAAAGATAGTGTTTGGAATGTGAGTTTCAAATGGCGCAACTTCCCCAATCAGAAAACAGAAATATTCTGAATATCCATAAAACTGACAAAAATTAGGATTATTCCTCAGTAGCCAATGAAGGACTCAACAGGAAGGATAATTTTGGATGGTACAAACTCAAAATTGATCTGTAATTGTTTCATTAAACTGTCTTTAAAGAAGACCTCATTGATCTTAATTGCTGGATATCGAATGAAATAGAAGTAAAAATGCAAATGGAAGAGCCCAAGATACCAGCAAAACTCAATCAGCCCATTCTTAACATCAAATGAGGATCACAAGCACATCATGAAGCCCAGTCATAATTGATATTTGCAGAATTCAGTCTAAAGCAAAGGGATTATGCATGTATTTAGGTTCAGATAAAGCTATTAAGGATGCATCTCAGGATCTGAAGAATAATCAAAGAGAGCCTATGCTAGCTGTGATGATAATTAGATTGAATCCACACATGCTCAATATGGCAGATTACATTCTTCACAAATTATGGAATTTCAACAAAAGTTGAAGATTTAGAGAAGCCGAAGATTTTTTGACCTAGTAAAAGAATAAACCGAAGGATTATTTTAGCAACTTAGTTGGATTTATCACAAACAAAGCGAAAGCAAAGATCATAATTGGCAGACCACAGAAGATAGGGAGAACAAGTTTCAGGGGTTTACCAACGCTTAAATAGAGATATAACCACATAAAGAATAGACAATACAAATTCCCCACACCAAAATCATTGCAAAACTAAGAGTCACCATACTGCACTGTGGGAGCCTTTATAAGAAAGAAAATGTGGGCCAAAAATAAAGTTTGTGCATTTGTGTCCCATAGATAAGATTAAGGTCGAAAGATGTGACCTACAGCTATTCCAACCTCATATCTTCACCTGTAGTTTCTGCTTCTCTTCTTTCCTATTTTAACTCATCGAAACTATTGTTATTTTCTTCTTCTGTGTCTTCTTCTCATACTTATTTTTACATCAATAGTGATAAGGAGATGGTCCACTATGAGATTATGCCCTATGCTATCAACTTTATTATAGATCTGCATTAACTAGCATTATAGGTTCAAATATATAACTTTTCTACTAGAGGTTAATGGTCCCATTGATTAGCTAAACGAATAGTTAATCCAAGCAAGATGATAAGTGACCAATTTAACATTGTGAGCTCCTGAAATTGAAAGACCACCCTGGCTTTTGAAGAAATAGACAAACGTAAGCCTCTAACCTGATCCATATTCAAGATTTCACATAATTCTCATTAAAACAGATGCTACACCTGACACTAGTCAGAGAGTTGAGAAAGTTCTATTAATATTTTTATCATTTCCTTTCCGATGATTACTCATTCAACAAGACATCGTACTCAATAAAATCGAGTCCAACCCCTAGAGAATATCTGCCATATGCAATGTGAGGAGCTGGTTGCTCATGAATTGTCAACAGTGATATGTGGCACCAGAGCTCAACCTTTCCAAGCAAGTAGGTCAGATTTCATATGTAATAGTTGTATCCCTATATCGTGAAAATCAAAGGTCAAATAAATTTTGGACTCATGCTACAATCGTTTAAAAGTTATCCCAGTAGGTTATAGACCAAGATCTTTCATAATTGGGCGATGCTCCATGCATCACTAGCCCGGGGTTAAAAAAAAACAAAAGGTCTTTCATAATGAATATTATCTAGTACTTTTGGACTCATAAGGTGTATTGTCTGGCATCTCTACTTGTGTACTACTTTTATCCACCCTTAACAACATTCTACTCCTCCATTTAAGAATATAAACCTTTCAAATTCTTAGGATGGACTTTGGAAGTACCCACACAAGGCTGATCTAGGATAGTTTTGGTTTTCACAGAATTTTCAACTTGTGCGGTGGCAATAGACATCCTTTGGGCAAGGTAAAAAAAGGAAACCCTAGAAGGAAGAGTAGGGACATATATATCGTTATTGAAGAGACCCCAGTGTTCAAGACCATTTTTTGTGGATGAGGTACCTGGCCATGATTTAGAGCTGCCTCCATGAGAAGGTGATCAGCTTCAACTTGAACTTTGGAGGAAATAGTTCCTGCTGAGTCCGGCCACATGCGTTCATGCAGACATTTAACCAGACCATAGTCTCCCTTAACAGCCAAGCCACGCATCAAGGAAAGATAGAGGTGAGGCTTCGGCCGCAAGCCAGGATTTCCACCAGCCTTTTTCAATATCTCCCCAAACATACAGAGAGCACCTAATCACAGCAAAAGATTAAAGAAGAAGAAGAATCAAGTTTTTGCTAAGAGAAAACTGGAATGGGGCCTGGAAAAGAAAAAAAATTGTTAATCACATTGATTCATCACTCATACGTGAATTTCCTAAATTTGGATAATATCTTTTAGATGTTGAACCTTTTTGATCTGAAACACACTTCAAAATGATCAATGTCATTCTCTACTTATTGCAGCGCTTGAAATAGATTCCAAAAATGGCATACCTTTGATTGAACCAGAATTTAGCAACGCATCAATAATAGCAGTGTATGCGATCCGATCAATAGACAAGTCACAAGATGATTTCATTTCTGACACAATCTTCCCAACTGAAAGAAGATTCTTGGCATCCCCAAAACCCTACAGAAGGATAATTAGCTGCAATTAACAGTGATATAAAACGGCAGTTTAAAGGAAAAACTGAGTCTAGGAAGTAATTAATAGAACAACAGCCAGTAAAAATGAAAGGGAGGGAATAGTTGACTCAGCAAACTAAAAGCAATCTGTGTGAAATGCAAGTTATGTCATTAATTTTTTCAACAGCAAGCAAGCATAGAGGTATTATTTATATGAGATGAAACTCTAGGGAACATACAGATTGATTGCCTGTATCCTAATTTGCTAACAGAAAGCAGTGCTATTTGGAAACTCATTCATAAATTGTTTGACTGACACAGTTTTAGACCTATCGCATACAAATAAATCAATGCCCGGGTAACCTTTAGCAATGTAGTGTATGTGACAACATCTGGGAAAAGATCATCATGCCCAACTTTCTGAGCTTGGACCTGCAACAATCACAAGTGCAATATATTAAGCAAACTGGGAAGTTCTTATATGCCATCTAAGCCAATAATCAGGCTCTAAACTGGCCCTTGAAGTTGAAGTGCATGCATGATACCTTCATTTCCTCAAAAAAACGCATTGCAGCATCCAATTTTTCAGTCTTGACACATGCAAAGATCAGAGTATTATATGTGAGCTTATCAGGTATCATTCCCTGCTGTTGAATTTCATCGTACACACCTAATGCTGCCAGAGGACAACCGGAGCTTATATAACCCTGAAAGTTGGAGTGTCCATAAAAAAAGTGACATTTGTTAGCTATTTTGTGCTTACTTAGCACAATATGATCTGTAACTTTAAATTCTACAAAAGCCGAAAACAGAACAATAAATAACCACAAAAAACTAAACTTCGTCAGTTTAGTCTTACAACACAGTAGCACAACACCTTCATTAGTAAGTTGTAAAACAATATTGACGGGCTTCCATCTTCATGAAGCACAAAACCATACCGTGCAAGGAGGCCATTAGCACGGCGTAGATCCCCTGCACTAAACATCATAAGTGAGGAGGCACCATCAGCAAGCAAAAAAAAGGAAACTGAGTCAAGTTCTCAACAATATGAGAAGCAACGTATCTCCTTACCATAAATGGACAGTTAAAAATCATAATCAACATTATGCTACTAATTGATTCAATTGACCAATACTATCAGAATTCGAGAACCTAAAATTAGCTAAACAGTAAGGAAAAACAGGCTAAACCTTAAAGCAACACCGTAACCCCTCTATATATCATTAAATGATGAACCAAAAGAGAATCATGCACTTCAAGAAGGGCATTGCAAAGACCACCGCGCTGATTACTGTTTCTTAAAATTTAATTTTTCATACTTCAATCAAGAGCAATGTTATGGACAAAAAAATCAACAGAACTACACACATGTAAGCACAAAAATTGGATTTTTGGTACACATTGCATACATACATAATACATAAGCAATTGGTGCCCATTTTTTATTTTGATTATTCTAAATAATGCTTAGCACAATTATTGGTAACCAAGATTTGGGCGGATAACACGACTCAAATGATCCTTGTCACAGTTATTATGGGGTCCACCATGTGAATCTTGCCATGCTTTATCAAGGGCCATATTTTTTCTTAACCACAAGCTATCATGTCTTTCTACGATATGATACTGTTAGTTTTGGTTTACCTACACCCTACATATTACCTTTGATAGGGATCACATCACTGTTCCTCACCGCAACATTTATATGTATTTATAAACATGTCCAAACCATCTAAAACAATTCCCTCTTAATTTATCTTTTGTCATTGCTATTCCCCCTAGTTCCCTAATATATTCATTCATAATTTTGTAATTTCTTGTTTTACCGTGCATCCAATTAAACATTATCATTTCCGCTACATTTATACATTGAGCATAGTTGTTTTTAACTGCCCAACACTCTGCACCAAAAAACATCGTTAGCCTAATGAGAACTACAATTCAATATAAGAAGTATACATTGACATTATACATTCGATCCATTCATTCGCTTAGTCTAGCATTTTTTTAATTCTATGATCAAAATCATCTGCAATATCTCCTTCTTGGGGATATTAAATGCAACTATTTTAATTATTTACTCTTTAATATCTCTTATTCTTCAATTTGTATAACCCTTCTCGATTTGAATTTCGAGTTATACTAAAATTACATTCTGCATACTCAATTTATTTTTATTTATTTTAAATCTTTTTGACTAGTGAGTGACTATCTTCAATTAAGATTATATTTGGCATTTCGCAGTATTTGATAACAAGCAAGAAAATAGGCATAAAAATAGTAGAGATATCCTTTGTACAAAAGTCATCTCTTCAACATTAAATTTTTTCCTTTTTTTTTAACATGTGAACCCACAGTTGAACCAACCACATCCCATATCTTACCTAATTGTCCAAAAAAAATGTAGATAAATAATTGCAAATATAAAATGATTATTGTATTATTTAAGTACAAAGAGAGGGTTAGTTAGACATAATTCTTTGTAATTTGGGCTGGTTCCACATTTCCCTTCTCAACTTTCACTTGTGATACTAAACCCCCATAACTGATGACTAACAACTTAAGAGTATGTGTAAAATTTCTAAAATCCCCTTCATTTGTTGTTCAATTTTATTTGCAACACTTTCTCTTTACAATCTCTCTAACCATCCACCATAAGGCCGCCAAGTACACATGCACACATATATCGCATATGCATGTAGATGTATATCAGTAAATATCAATGCAACTTATACATTGCAGAGAAACAATGAAATGTAAAGTTACAAAAATCCAAACACTCATTTTCAGCCTGGACCTATCAAGTAACTGCAGATGAAATATACACATGTTGGGACATAAAAAAATTAAAAGAATCTCTATGTACAAAAAATGAACTATCCAATTTACAAATTCATATTTGACCCCAAAAAAAAATTTCTAGAATCATAAATTTGACAAATTTCATCATAATATCAGCTGCCAAATTTACATTTTCACAAATTCCAATCTGTGCAATTAATTAATAAGCTAATACAAAATTTCTCAACTCAACCAATATGAGCAATTACCAACGACCGGTGGTTCCTTTAAGGAAAATAAGAGTATGGTCCTATACAGGCAGGTGATTAACTCATGGGGTGGACCAGTGTTGTGAAAAGCAATGCGAGACGACCCTATGTCGCCTTGAACATGACTGGCAAAGCGAACGTGGACAAGACGAGAGAAAAGCAAGTAAAGGTGAAAAAAGTGAATAAGCATCACTTTAGTACTCTTTTTAATTTTATATCTTAAACTATTACACGTCGTTGGATTGATGCAATTGGATCAAAAATTAGATATGTCAACTTTAGCCAATTGAGCCTCATTTATATATATGTAAACTAACCCTAATCACCACATTTATTTGAGCCAACAAATAGCAGGAAACCTCTTCTCCTCTTCTTACGCCACTCACAAGAAGGTATATCTCTTTTCCTCCTCTTCTTCTCTGACTGACCGACTTGCGACACTCACCAAGAAAGCCCACTACAACATGCTGCTCTAGCCCTGCATTAGGCTAAGACAGACGCCAAAGGTATGTCTATGTCCTCTTCTTCTCCTCCTCCTCCTCCTCCTCCTCTTCGTCTTCCTCTTCCTCTTCCTCTTCCTCTTCTAATTCTTCTCATCTTCTTCTAATTTTCTGGTTGTGCTAGAACCATCTCCTTTTCTTCTACTCTGTTTTTGTTTTTCTTTTCTTGTGTTCCTATGATTCTAATTCTGCTTCTCCTCTTCTACTCTATTTCTGTTTTTTCTTTTTTCGTTGTGTTGCTTTGATGTTGATGTTGATTCTGCTTCCTCTCTTTTATTCCATTTTATGTTTATACTTTTTTTTTAAAACACCTATTTAGATGCTTTCAAAAACAAGGCAAAAATGAAAACACGCGCGTCCCTCAAGCCTCAATTAATGAGGTCTTGTCTTTGAACCCCATTAACAGCATAAAAGATATTCTTATTGTTCCAAGTATAAAAGGACCTTTTTTTAACTTTTTTTTGCTTCTCTTATTGTCTGTCCCCCGTGTTTCCCTCATTCAATCGTCTCTCTTGCGAAGCTCCAACAAAGGAAAGCTCCAAGCGAAAGAAGCTACGGCAAAGGAAGCTCCAGTCTTTCCATCTCCATCTCCATCGATCTCTTTCTCTTTCTCTCTCTAACCCCTCTGTGAAATTTGTTTTTTAAAGTTTGTGTTTGTTATATACATAGATCTATGAGATCTATGTATATATATGCATATATAATCCTAATTGTGGATTTCGGTGGCTGTTAATGGTGGATTTTGGTGGTTGTGGTGGTGAATTTAGGTGGTTGTGATGATGGGTTTCAGTGGTGGGATTTCGGTGGTGGGGGGGGTGGGGGTGGGCTGAGGGTGGGTTTCGGTGGTTGTGGTGGTGGGTTTCAGTGGTGGGGTCGGGGGTAGGTTTTGGTGGTGGGGTTGGGTGGTGGTTTTGGGTGGTCAATGGGGTTTGGGTGGTAAATTTTTGGTAGAATACCAAAAAAGTTTTTTATTTTTGTTTTATAAATTTTTAAATATAAATCACTATCAAACATGTTTTATATTTTTAATTTTTATTACAAAAAAAAAAAACAAAACTTAGTTTTATTTTTTTTATAAAAAAAAAACATAAAAATAAAAACGTTACCAAACGCTACCTTAGACTGATTCTGTTGTTTTTATTTCTAGACTGCTCTGGTTTAATTCTATTACTTTATTATGCTTAGTTCAATTGCTTCCCGCGAAAATGACTGATTTAGTAGAAAACCATATAATTTTTGTTGTTACTGCCTATTTGTCACGGAAATGATTTCATCTGTGATGATTGAGTACTAATAACCAAACTTTTTTTTTGGTAGAGGTGTAAATTTGCAGAATACTGCCATAAATGATGGTTTTTTAAAATTTAAATGTTTACGGTTTTGATTGCATTAAAATATTGAGTATTTGTAAAGTTGGAACTTGGATATTTAGAAGTAATTAAACTAAAATATTTGCTCTTTTTTTAATTGTTCGCTTCGGTTAAGCGCTCACTTCGCCTCTCACTTCTCGTCTAGTCCTCATGAGACTTGTCCACTTTGGTCCACTTTACATATTAAATAACACCGGAATGGAGTGTAGTATGTGGGTTTGTATCTGTACTCCGTCTTCCGAACCAGTTCTTAATTTGTCATTGCGAATTGAGCATTGACTTTGAGATTAAATGGTGGAGGCAGGTGATTTCCAAAGCCATGAGCTGTGAATTTTTTAATTTTTTCTGAATCTAATTTTTTTATCTTCTAAATTCTTTACCTGGATGGTGGTGGTGATGTGGCTTATCATGGTAGGTACCAGAGATGGGGCTATAGAGGATGAAAAAGGAATGACGAAGCAAAAAGAAAAAGGTGAGGAAAAACAACAAAGGTAAAATGATATTTTACATGAGAAAAATGCCAACCAAACAAGACCTCAAATGCACGTCCAATATTCCTATAGTTATGTTAAAGGAAAATGTAACAGTTCCATTTTAGTCATTGAAGTATTTACTACATTCACTTCTTATAACACCCAAAGTTCCATATTTTATTCTTTGCTCAAAATAATTTGAAATCATATTATGTTGAAAAGGGTCTAAAAATGGAATCTTAGCAATCAAAGGTTGAAATTGATTAGAATGTCACACTGAAATTTCAAAATTTCTCAACACCAAAGAAAAATTAAATATTTTTAATTCTAATTTGAAAATTAAGGTTTAAGCATCACTTTTTGCTTCCAATAACCATTGACTCCAACAGGATCTAAAGGTTAGCATCGGCCAACAAAATACCACAACCACTTTCACTACATTTTGAATTCCATAAGCCAAATTCGTTCCAATCGCCATGTTGAGTACTATAATGATGCAAGATATAGAAACACTAACTTTTTTTTGGGTAAGTAAACACTAACTTGTATGCCAAAACAACTACATTCTGACACTATTACTATGCTACTCCAGACAGTTTAAATTTGAACCACATATAGACTTGAAATCCACTATCAAATCGGTGGCACTTTTACAAATATAACAGAAGAACCATATTTTGCTATATCTACAAACTTAACCTGCTTCAATAAGAGAATTCAGCAAGCCATAAATAATTGGTGCTGACAACTTTGGATTTCCTGCAGCGGTACCTCTTTCCACAGATTCAAGGATTTGAAATGCTTCATCAATTCTCCGAGCATCACCCAAACCCTTTCAGATTTTAAAATAAGCCAATCACAGTTGAAGATGGATGAATGGTTTTACTAGATATAGCAGAGACTGAATTACACTACCACACAAAAGTCGAAGCAGAATATTGAAATTAAAATTTGCCAAATTGCTATAGAAGGCCTGACTGATTGCTCACCAGTCACCTAGTCATCAACAAAATCACCCAGTTCACATCTCAGAAACCTTTTCGAATATGCATAGAATTATAACCACTAGAACAGTCAACAAATAAACATATACACAGATTTTTACCACGTGATCATAGAAAAGAAAGTCGAATTAAATTCAATTCAACTCAGAAGCCAAAAATATTAATAAAACATTCAACTGAAACAACCAAGTAAGCATAAAATCAATTATAACATACTCAACTCAGGTCGACATAACAAAGCCTTGTCCAATTACTTACAGTTGGTTGCATGAACCATATTATGTCATACCAATGTATCCGAAGCCATGTTTTCTATCAAACCAAAACCTATCATATATTTGTACTGTTTCAATTCATGTTAATTACAATCTTAGTCTAACTCTGGCATTGTCATTAATGAGGGTCACATCACCCTAACTCACAGACCCAATTGTATGCCTTTGCTACACTTTCTGTCAAAACTGTCTAACCTAGAACATAATGGAGTTTATTTAATTCATGGAGATTTTTTCTTGTCATTCGAAAAACAGGTTCCCACATCAAGTACTCCTAAGACTCCACCGGTCAAAAAGAAGCATGCAAAAGGAATTAGCTGGCAATCACTTCCTAATAAGTTAAGAATTATTAGACTATGGCAATAGCCAAGCTTAAGGCAAACTAGAAATGTCTGAGTAAAAGTTATAGCTTGAAAATGGATTAATGCTAGTCAATTTCTTTTCTCAATTTATGTCTTACTGATATTAGGTGTATCACAACTGTGATAAATTTCTGTTTAATCCTTTCATTCCACACATCATCCATGTTGACATTCTCATTTTCACCATGCTTTTTTTCTTCTCGTGTTTATTATCTGACCAGCATTCTGTCCAAAACCAATGCCCTAGCATAATTCCAAAAAATCCTACACATAGTAGAAATGATGCTTATATCCAATTCTCATACACATATTATCAGTTAATTATTCTCTTGTCCACATGAAACCCATTCATAAAGAATCGAACAGAACTCCCAAATGAATATTCCAAGTACCTTCACCAATGTGCCATATGTAACATTGTCAACACCACAGCTCTCCAGCTTCGACATTTCTTCAAAGACCCTAAGAGCAGAATCTATGTCCCCGCAATGAACACAACCCTGCATTACTGCGTTCATCACAATCGTATTCAACTGCCCATACAATTTTTTGGCTTTCTCAACTTCCTCAAAAATCTAAAACAACAAAACAAAATACCCACAAAATATTCAAACCAACTTCACATTGAAGCTCGAAATTTATTGAAAAATAATCGAAATAGACCTGAAGCAGTTGTCGTCTGCGAGTGAGTTCGACGATGCGAGAAGTGAGACGTTTGAGACTCGGTTTCGAAGGTTCCTTTCGGATTTTGCGCGGAAAGAACTTTCTAAGCCGACGGCTACTGATCGGAGGAGGAGAAGAAGAGAAAGAGATTATGTTCAATGGGTTTACTATTGTATGGTAAAATCTGGGCCAGAGAGTTACGGGTCGATGAAACGGAGATAAGGGTTGAATTTGCTGCATCTTTGGGTTTTGATGCAGCTAACCCATCACCCATATACAGTCTAGAAGAGATTTGATGCTTCAATTTCGCATCAATTTATCAGTACTGTAGTGTCCAAGTAGTGTGCGTGATAGTGTGTTTTGATAGAGAGGAACAGGATAATGTGAAGGACAAATGGACAATTCGCCCACAAGGAATCCGCCCTGTAATCTGGAGGTTTTCTTTGTGGGGGTCCTAATCCGAAGGTTTTTCGTTTGTCTTTATGGCGGCCATTATTATTTCAAAAAGTTCACCTGATATTTGGCAGGGCGAATTGCACCACACAGAATGATTTTAAGTTTTTTATTGGATTTATTGTACCAGAGTTTAATTGATTTGTTTCATGTTGATTTTTAATATTTTAATTATATCATTTTAATTTTTTAAATATTAAATATATTTTTATGTGATCTTTCAAACAAATAACGTTTAGATTATTAACAATTTTTTATTATATAAACTTATCATATAATACCTAAATATGGAAAAAAAATAATTTTGACAACTATTAAACAAAATGTAGATAGCTCTTGACAAAAAAAAATGTATAATATGGGCAGCTTTTGATCAAAATTTGGAAAAGTCATGATCAAAACTATATAATTTAGGTAACTATTTAATCGAAATTTGAGTAAATAATTTTGACAGCTCTTATCCAAATTATGTTTTTGTTCTTATTTAAGTATAAAGGGATAAATTTATGATAAAAATTTGTTAGCAATCTGGATGTTGTCTGATAGATGGACCATATAAAAACATATTCAATATTTTAGGATCCAAAATAATGCAACTGAAACATTGGGGATCAAAATTGGACAAAATCCATACTTTTGGGACCTACAGTGCAATTAACCATTTTTTATTTTATATCTTTAAAAATTAAAATTTTTATATTACATCTTTAATATATGAAAAAATTTCAATTATACTCATTCTAGTTTACCATATCTTTAAGAACACTCCCTCTATTATCAAAAACATCACTGACATTTTTTCTAATTTATATTTAAACATCACTCACACACCTTGTCATTAAATCACCATTTATAACAAAAATAATTATTTAAAATACCAAAATTATCCCTATATAAACCTCAAATAATCTTTCTACTTAAAATTTGATTAAAATTCATTTTTTTACATATTAAAATTTGAACTAATTAAAAAAAAATTACATATTAAAATTTGAGTCGATCAAAATTCGATTCGAATTAATTAAATTTTATTTTTTTACATATTAAAATTCGAACCTATTAAAAATATTTTTTTAAGTTTTAAAATTTAAGTTGATTTGAACTCTACTTGAGTTGTTAGCCTCAATTAAAATTATCTTCGAGCCGATTAAAATTTATATTTTTTTATTTATTAAAATTCAATTAATTTAATTAAAATTTATTTTATATGTTAAAATTTGAGTTGATTAAATTTTATATTTTTTAATGTATTTTAATGCGAATTGATTAAAATTTCATTTGAGCCTCAAATAGAATTTTAATAGGCTAAAATTTTAATAAGAAAAAAATATAATTTTTAATCGACTAAAATTTTAATACGCAAAAATAGAGAGTGTTTCATTGAAGATGTGTCTATTTATTAAGGATGTGAATAAAATTTTTCGTAAAATATATCATGTGCAATTTAGTAAAATTGCATTCTAATTAACACATTTAATTTAATAGGGGGTGTCAGTAAAGATTTAAAAAATAGAGGGGATTTCTTTAAAAATATGATAAACTAAAAGAAGTGTGGCTGAAATTTTTTCTTAATATATTAAAAGTATTGAAATGTGACATTTTTGTTAGTTTTTCGTTAATTTTTTTGCCAATATCAATGAGTTGACTTTTAATAGAAAAAATAATAGAAGCTAACAGAAAGGTCAAATTGCAATACTTTTGATACATTAAAGATGCAATGCAAGAAATTTAATCTTTGAAGGTACGAAGTGAAAAACTTAAAATCCTTCAGGATACAAAATACAAAAAACCCCATATTGGAAAATTGCGAATTGCTAATAAAGTTTTTTTTTTGTATGAGTTCGCCCTCCTCTCAATTACCATCCTTTTAATTCTTACTATCTTATATTTTTTTCCCAATATACCATTATTTACATAAAAAAAAAATATAAGTTTGATTTATGTTTTTTTATTATAAGTGTGTTTGTGTATGTTCCTTATCAAACCTGAATAAATCAGAAGGGTTGTGTTAAGTATCTATAGTCAATATAAAACTCGTGAAATCAAATATGAATTTAAAATCTGATGATACCATAAATTACCACTCAGATTAATTCATTACAACCCAATATTACGAAGTTCAACTAAACTGACCTGATTCGGGTCATCCAGCACAAGTATTTCAACTCCCAGATCACCAAGTGATATCCAAGCAACTCGGCTACAATCATGCCAGCTCGGATCTAGTTATTACAAGAAGAAGAAAAGCTTAATAAGTCAATCCTACCTTGGGAAGCAAGCTAACACCTCAAGAATGCCACCTCACTGCTTTTAGAAGCCTACGTGGACATCGGTTAGGATTTTCTCTAATGGTCAAATTTTTCCCAAATAATTCCAACATATCGAAGGGTCCACACAATCTTGAATAAGGGAAAAAAAAAAACCTTTGCTTATATAAATAAGAAAGACCCCATATTGAAAATAGGATTGAACCCTCTATAATCATTTTGTTCTTGAGGAGCAGGAGACTTCATTCACAGTGGACTAGCCGAGCTGTTTAGCTTGGTAAACCACTTAAACTTTGTCCATTCCATTGGCTTTTGGTGAATCATACAAGCCATTTACACATATCATAACTATGCACGCATTACACTCAAATTCCTCTATTTCTTGCACCATCAATTTGGCACCATCTGTGATAACGATTGCCATCGTTCTACTCTGAAATCATCTTTTTCTGTATTTGGTTGATGACCTTGACCAGAAGTATGAGTCAAAACCCTGAAAATCAACAGAGGATTCCTTTAATGGTTCCTCCTACAAACCCACCTCCGGTGGAGGAATCAGAGACTTATCAAGAAACCATGCTACATTTTCTCAGGCAAAATCAGCAAATCATCACCGTTCTCATTGTCCAGCAACCTCAACCTCCTCAAAATCCACCTCCTTCAACCACTCTTAATGGACTGATAGAAGAAGACCATCGGAGCCATTCGGGTAGGAACGTTCACCATTGTCAAGCTCAAGGAGAACATGACAATGAGGCTCATAGCAAAGCTGGGAAGGAGAGAAGGCAAAATCTTCAACCTCAACCCATGCAGAATCCCTTGAACCAATACTAGGAAGAAAGAATAAAGGAAGTCCAGAACGAGCCTAGGAATGTGAAGAATAGAACCCTAGTGTAAAGGGAGGTTCTGGTCCAACAGATAGAGTCTCCTTTTATGCGTGAGATGCAACAGTTCCCTCTTTCTACCAAGTTCAAGATGCCCCATGTTGAAGCCTTTGATGGAACCCAAGACTTATTTGATCATCTTAAAACCTATAAAAATTAGATGGAGTTGCATGGGTACCAAGACCCAAACTAGTGCAGAGCTTGTGCCATCACTCTAAAGGCTTTGCATTGGCCCGATACAAATATGTTACCTCCAACCTCGATTTCTTCCTTTAAAGAACTGTCCATGAAATTTGTCTCTCATTTCATCAGTGTGAAGACCCACCTCCAACTGACCTCCTACCTTCTTAGCATTAAGTAGAAACCAAATGAGTCACTTAGGAAGTACGTGCATCGATTCAACTAGGAATCTCTTCAAGTTGACAGCCTGGACGATAAGGTGGCCTTAACAAAATTCATAGCTAGGCTCCAATCATTCGACTTCCTATTCTTAGTCTTTAAGAATCCTCACACCAACATGACTGAGGTGTTAGCCAAAGCAGAGCAGTACATCAATGGGGGACAAAAAAAGGAAAAAATCTAATTCTAAGAAGAATCGAGATCGATTTCCCAAAAAGACGGGAGATGTGTAAGATTTGTTAGCACCCCCAAAGCTAGACTTCTAGATGCAGTTTGCCCCAGAACAGTTCATGCCCTTGAATGCTTCATTAGCCCAGATATTACATCAAGTTCAACATGAGAAGTAAATGAAATAGACCTCAAGGATGAGGTTCAACCCTTGAAAGAGGGATATGAACAAGTTATGTTGTTTCCACAAGGACCATGATCACAACACTGATGACTACGTCCAGGTGAAGAAGGAAATTGAATTCCTTATTTAGAAGGGTTACCTGGGAAGGTTCATGGCACGAGAAGGAGGCCACCAAGCTACAAACACTCAAGAGTTGCCCCAAGCTAGACCATAGTAACCATAACATTAGCAGCCTCTCAGGAAAATTCACATCATCTCTGGCAGCTTTGCTGGATGGGGCGAGTTTAGGTCTGCTAGGACAACATACGTACAAAAAGCCCAATTTGAAGATTTCTCCGAGGTCCGTGTTGTGCACAAAGTCCCACACCTTGATATGGAGATAACTTTTTCAGACGCCGACCTGGAGAGATGCTAACTTCCTCATGATGATCCTTTTGTGGTTAAAGCCCATCATCGGCAACAAAAATGTCCATCGAGTTCTAGTTTACAATGGAAGCTCTGCTGATATTATCTTCTCAAACACGTTCAACCAACTCGGCATCAGCAAAGAACAGTTCTTACCTGTCAAAACACATTTAGTGGGTTATATCAAATCATTTCAAAATAAAGAAATTTTTTTCTTTTTTTAAGTCCAATATGTGACGGCATATATGGTAGAATCGTAACCATAGAATGCGACCCAAATCGAAATCCATACATTTGTCTCATACACTATGCCTCACAATTCTATATAATCCATTTATAATAGAAGTTCTCAAAGAATTCATTAGAGGGATGTTTCTAATAAAAATTATTTGTTCTTACATATCCCTACTAGTTACCCCAAGTAGATGAAGACCCTCAGCATGTGGTCTTTATGGGCTCTAGATTGGTGGACGACATTAAAGAAAAGCTCATCACCCTCTTAAAAAGTAGTTATGATGTCTTCGCTTGGAAACAGGAAGACATGAAAGGAATATATCTAAAGGTAATAGTTCGCAGACTAAGTATGGATCCCAATTGTAGGCCAGTGAAACAAATGAGGCAGAGTTTTGTCCCAAAAAGACAATGGTCTATAAATGAGGTGACAACAAAGCTCCTCAGTGCCAAGCCATCAAGGAGGTTG